AAATCTCTCCCGCTAAAAGACTCAGAGAGGGAAAGGTGAATTTGTCCTCCCACGCTGACAGAACTCCTTCGTCAATGTGGTATCTGTATTTTATTTTGTAAAGTGATCTAAAACAGCAAGTATAGAACATGAGTGCCTTGATGTTTTTGCGTTTCTCTTTCTCAAAGTAAATGAAAAAATCTGACAAATGTTACACATTTATCATCAGAGATGTATACTGTGCTGAAGGTTTATGAGGTTAAGTTTTCAAATTTTTTTATTCTGACGAATACTGAGCGCAGTACTTATCTTAAGTCACTGACTGTAAAACAGGCAGTATTTACAAGGAAATTAACATAAAATACTGCTTGCAAAAATGCATAATGTTATGCTTACCTGTAGTGCTGTTTATAAATCTAGATTTGTTTTGGTGTGAGTTACCACACCAAGAGGAACTAGATAATGGAACAAGATGCCTCTTGACTTCTGGTACTCAAAGCGTTAAAAAAAAACCCCTCAACAGTAACGTCTCTTTCCAGAAATCATGACCCAGTTGCTCAAGATAATCCACAGACCTTGTTGTGAGCAGTCTTATATGGGAACTATTTTCTGTCTATCTTCTGTCCAAACAGAAGGAAGTGTGAATCTACAGCTGGCTCACCTAACACCACTGAGCTACCTAACAATACAGCTCAGCTGAGGAAGATGGCATTAATGTTTACATCTCACACCTCTTTCTAACTGGATGCGATGTGATGCAAATTGTTTCGGTGTTTTCTAGTGAAGATGTCCTGACTTGCTCAGTGCGTCAGTAAACGGACTAAGCGAGGTGTCGCTTGTTTGAAAAAGCACTCACTCTGGCTCTGTTTTGGCAAAGCTTTGTGCAGCTCCAATCTTTTTCCAGAGCAACAGCAAGCCATTGCTCACTAAGGGCTCTATAGGCTCCCTGAATGTTGCTGTCGCTTATAGTATATCTATAGCAACTGGCAACCTCTGGAGCTGAAAAAGCCAACACAGAAGTCCCAAAAACTGCAGTTCTTTGAACTTGAGTTAGCCCCATGTTAAAATGCCCAATCTTACAGCAGAAATTCATGTTTACAGCCTGGTATAAAAAACGATTTTATAGCTCATCTCAACTGGCACCTTTTATTAAGGCTTACAGTTACCCATATTTAAGGGCTGGCTGCTTTAAGTGACAGGCAGGTTGTTAATAGTGTCCTCAGCTTCTCAGTCAGATCCATCTCTCATTCTTCCACAGTGCCAGCCTCTCGCCCAAATATGGTTAGGCAACATCCGAAATGTCAACTTGAGGCTTCAAAGCAGGAGTCCACAAATCCAATGGGTGACAATGGGTCACTGTAGCTACGTCCATAATTTTCACAGTCTGGACACTTTTTTGCGCTCCTTCCCCCAGATTTTGCTCGCTCCCTGTAAGTTTAGATGAGGTGTCACACCATCATGAGACAAGCCTTTTGTCCAGAAAGTAGATGCACACTTCCTCCCCTCTCTTTCGCCACAATTTGAGTGCCATGTGGTTCCACTATATACTGTATAAGGTGGACATCTGTACAGCCAATACCTCCAACACTTGGCAACTCACAAGAGAACCAGATTGATTGAAAGCACTACACGCAAGAGGAAAAAATATTTATTTTTGATTTGGGGGTGAACTGTCCCTTTAAGTCAACTGAAAATGTCAGTATGAATCAGAAACCAAACCCTTTCTGTACTCGCTATTTCTATTTCTATGTACTTCAATCTCATTCCACCTTTATTTATGTCTGTCTTCTTCACTTTATCTATCTGGATCTATCTCTATCTAACTCTGTCTTCTTTGATCCACCTTTCTCTCCTTTCACCTGACTTTCTACATTGATCTACTTTGATCTGCTTCTATCTGTGTCTACCTCCATTTACCTTTATCTCTATCCTCTTCGTAGTGCTTTTATCTACTCTGTCTCCACCTCTTTCTGCCTCTACTTCCAAAGATCCAAGTCCATCTGGCACATCTACCTCTATTTATCTCTATGTGTTTTTACGTGACTGTCGAGCAGTTTCGGAGGTTTTGACCCCAAGCTTGAGTGAACATTCTCCTCCCAAGCAATCCCATTTATCCATCTTTTTACAATTAAACTTTGATGCCGATTTGTTAGAATAAATAGGGAGTAGTAAATTATTTATGGTTGGATTTAAAAACACTGAATCAAGCATGCTCGTGTATCCCCACACACACACACACACACACACTGCTGAAAACACCCATGCACAGATCAATAATAAATCACAAGGCAGCAAGAGGGAGGAAGAAACGTTGAGCGAGGCATTTATAGTGCGCTGGGATGGTAAATATAAAATATGGACACACGTACACACAGGCACTCTGAAATACATTTATTTAATTTGCAGTTTCATTCTTGCTGATGATTTATAAAGCCGACACATCACAGGAGCCTCAGTCGCCTAATAGAAAGGAGAAAAGAGGACAGACCGCTAATGTCTAAGGGAAACGAACGGCCTTCTGTTTGTCGAACACAAAGGCAGTCTGGTTCAGCTTTAATCTGGCAGTGAGCAAAGATGCACACCCTTATCTTCGTCTGTTTTTTTTTTCACTTCAGCACAAAAATACACACTTGGATGCAGCCTCAGTCCCTTGCATCCTCTGCTCTTCATAATTCAATTATCAGTACAATTGAGTTACTACTGATGATTCACTTTAACAGATCACTCATCAGAAAAATGCAGAGGGAAGAAAAAAAAAAGACAGAAGAAATGCCGGTGTCTAGCAACGGTCTAATTTTTCAAGGGTGGGAGAATGACGTACTGTACATGGAGGCAGCTACATCTTCAGCCCGTGAAGCCTATTTAGACACATCTCTGATGGAAGCTTTCGCACCGATGTGATGTAAGACTGCATCTGGGAAATGGAAAGCGATGGTGGATCGGTCTATCATGATTCTGGACAGCCCTCTTAAAACCAGTCACACCGAAAAGGTCTTTTCACGGCATGCTTTATCGCACCATTTAGAAGCTCTTTGGCGACATTAAGCCACAGGCAGCACTTCCCCCCCGTTACCCTCCTCTCCTCACTTCAACTTCTCTCTCTTTGACTCTCTCTGAATCCTTTCTGGCTTCTAGTGTTTTTAAAATCAAATTCATGCCCACATATTCTCATCGTGATTGCTCTTGTATGCAATTTGCTCTGACTCTCTCTCTCTTTTTCTCTCCAGAGCTGGGTCACCTTGAAAGTCTCTCTCACCCTCTCAGATCAGTCACTTTGCTGACGAGTATTTGCACTTCTCTCAGTTTTCTGCCTGTGATGCAGAGAGAGAGAGAGAGAGAGAGAGAGAGAGAGAGAGAGAGAGAGAGAGAGAGAGAGAAAGAGAGAGGAAATCTAATCGATATAATACGCCCAATCCTTGGAGACATGCAGTGTTTCTGGAGCAATGTACATTGCAGGTTTTAACTGAGCTGACCACACACACTGTTATACTGCATGATGTCAGTATGGAGGCATAAACACCCACTCCTTTTGAAAGACAGGAGGCAGCAGCTCAGTCCGTGGAGACTTGGCTTGAGAACTGGAGGGTCGTCGGTTCAAGTCCCCACACGAACCAAGTATGTAGACTGGCAGCTGGAGAGGTGCCAGTTTGCCTCCTGGGCACCACCAAGGTACCCGTGAACCCCCCAGACAGGGGGACCGTGTTATGGCTGACCCTGTGCTACTCCACCAAAACTGTAATTGCATATGTGTGTTGTGTGTAAAAGAGGGGTATGTGAAAGAGTCACATTTCAGCTGCCTTGTGTGGATAAACAAATAAAGAACATAAAATTAAAGTGGCATGAATGCAAAATGCTTAAAGGTTCTGTATACAACACTCAGAGCAGTAATGGCAGCAAATAACTATTTGCAATGTAAAGATAAAGAAGAGTAATGGTGTCCTGAGCAGAAAATGAAGTCACACTCCTTTGTGTATGTTGTAATCTGAACTTCTCTGCTGTGTGTTACAGTATAGAATCTGGCTGTGCATGCATGGGAGTCCTTGTGTGTGTGTGTGTGTGTGTATCCCCCAGCTAGCTTATCACTGCAACTCTATCACTGCACTCATACAGTGGTTAGCGGCAGCGATGAAGCGTATCACCCACCCTCTGGTTACCTCCAGGTTAACACAGTTAGCTCTGTCAGCACTGTTACTGTTGTTAGCACCATTAGTTGCTAGCTGCCAGCTCAATTACATCCACGTTGAAAACTATAAGTGGACGATTCACGGCTCAGATTCTGAATTACAGATAGAGAAAATTAGCTGTTCCTTCAGTTTTTCTGGCAGATTTTGACCAATACCTTTTACTCTGTAACAAGAAATCCTTCAACTCATCCATTTTTTGAGTCACAAAAATGATGTCAAACAAAGGGTCTTGATTAGGGGTGCCTGAGCACTTCAGGCATGTTTTAACACAATGCATGTTGACATACTTTTATTTGCTTTCTTCCAAGAGTTGGTTGAGAATATAGACACCATTCTCATGTTTATGCAGTAAAAATGAAGCTACAGCCAACAGACAGGTAACGTAGCTCAGCACAAAGACTGGAGACAGGGGGAATACCCCCCACGTCCTCCCAATAGTCTTCTCATCTCACTCTCTGCCAGAAAGCGAATTCACAAAATGTCAAACTATGACACTGTCTTCAAAGACAACACCAACTGATGCAAGCTGTGATGCATATGTTGTGTTTTGAAATGCAACAAAAACTAGACAGATATTTGTTGAAAATGACCTACTTAGGAGCGTATACAGGTATGTGTACACTTATGTGAAATACAAAGATGTTTCATTCTTTAGATGGTGAAACTGGTAATCAAAACTGGTTTAAGTGATCATGATTGTGTTAAGAAAAGATGGTGTTAAAACTAATGGGAGAAGAGCAGGTTGGGATTAATGCTGTTTATGTCTGTGAACTTATCAGAAATGACTGCCATAATGCTGGCAGATTTTGTGGGTGTGTGTGCAATGACAGCACTGACCGTTTGCTTTATGTCTGGGATGCCGATGCGAAACACCATCATGGCAATGTGGGCGTCCTCAGATGGCACGGAGCCGGTGCTGCGCTCCTTCAGCCTCCTCTGCTGCTGCTGCTGCTGCTGCTGTTGTATGTGATTGGCTGGCTGTTGGTGCGTGGGTCCAGGATTGGACGAATAGGGGTTTGTGGTGTGTCCAGGGTTCCCTGACCGGATCTGTCTGTCCCCGGCGGTTCGTCCAGCCAGTTTACCTGACTGCCTGTGTCCCTCACCCCTGCCCCCTCGTGATAGGCCTCCTCGCCTGACCTCCTCCACCATCTCCTCCTCATCGTCTTCCTCTTCCCCCTCCAGCTCGCCGTTCTCCTCCTCCTCCTGGTCCTCATCACGCTCATCTTCTTCCATTTCCTCCTCTTCCTCTTCTTCTTCCTCTTCCTCGTCCTCTGCCCCTGGATACAGATGTCGATTGTTTCCCAGCATCCTTTGTTGCTCCTCGTCGCTGGACAGGGGGCTGAACGGCATCGTCATGGCGACAGAGAGGGCGGCACCTGTGGCAACACCATCATTCCCAGAGAGACACTGCAACGTGGGGAGGAGAGAGAAGACTTGATCAGAGCAGAGACAGAAAAACTACAGCAGAAGTTTGTAAGCAGAATGTTTCTTCCCTGGCTGCAGGTCTCCATACAAACTCTGGTCTCTATGGGAACAGACTGCTGCAGTTACAGATATGCAGTGCTTCTAACCCTTACCACATGATGACATACCAGACACACCTCATGTATAAATGAACCCACTGGTGCCGTTAATTTTCAGCTTCCAGACTCTCACCATAAATTCTGACATCCTGCCCGTGCTGCTAGATTCAGGATTTGCCTGCAGATGACGGATCCTTCAGGAGCTCTCTGTGTCTGACGCCTGAAACATATCAGTATTTCACTCTGAGCGATAGAACTATGGTGGGTATTATTTCACTATCTTGGAATATGCCTCTATGGAGAGTACTCCTATGACATGTACTAGTTTAGAGGGCACTACGAAAAAGAAAAGTATGTACAGTAGCAATATCTACAAGTAGGCCTATAAAGAGAAGCATAATTGAGGTTCTAGTGCCATCATTACCTTGAGAATAAAATATTAGAAAAAGAAATTATTCCTCTGCAAATATGAAAGACATCCGAGAAACTGTTGATACCGTCTATTCATATGATCACAATTTTAAAGTACCCAGAGGATGAATCAATTTGTTTTGGTGACCTTCTGATCTTTCGTGTAGCACAACCGTAAGACAAAACTGACCCTAAGGCCAAAATATGTGGGACATGGATGTGGCGCAATACATCTGCCACAGCAGAGTGTGTCCCATTTTCATCAACTAAAGCTGAAGAACAATTCTTCTTCATCTTTAAGCAGCTGGACTAATTTTTCTTCTCTGCGTGTGGCCCCGCGGCCCTCCAACAAGTAAAAACTTGTGTAAAAAACAAGTACAATCTGTTTTAAAAGGATTACAATAACTATCTCATTGTACCAGAGGCAATGCAAAGCAGCAGCGCAACCTTATGTTTGTTTTTACATTTCAAATGAAAATAAGTCAATCAAATAAATTAATCTTTTTAGTCAAAATGATCCAGGAACAGTAAATATAGCCTACACTTCCAAAATCTGCATAACCAACTGGATAATCACTTGGCAAAACTCAACATGCACACGGTGAAGCTGAGGAAACCACACGCTACAAAGACGGAGTCAGTGTAGCAGGTAAAAAATCCCACACTGCCTTTGTGATGTGTCATGTCCATGCTCCATGTATTTTAGTTGTTACTTTTACACAAAGAATATTAAAAGGTTTTCATGACCTTCAATGAGTGCATCTTAAAATTTACTCTCTCCATTTCGGACACATGGAGAGCCAAAAATACCAACTTCACGACATAATCTTATGATGACATGAACAGAGGTTGATTTTAATTCAATTCAGAATTTAATTTTAACACAACTTTTCTTCTAGTACTCTGGTCAGGACAAACCTAACCTCACTACTGGGAAAGCTCTGAAAAAATTAAAAAACAAGCTGTGGTTTCTTTGTTATTTCCAGCATGTTGTATTGTTTATTTTGCACTGTCAGTTGTAATTGACAAAGATGTCAGACCTGTCTCATTAGACTGAAGCTGCTGAGACCAATCACCATCCTTGAACAATTGAAATTCCCGAAACAGCATTCCTCAGACCAAAACTACTTACTTATTCAGTTCATTTTCGCTGTGTGAAAAAACAATCACATCATCCTCAACAAACGAATATACTGGACTGACTCTACACAGCAGACTATTCGTCACCACACATCTCCTATAGAGACACTCATAATGGCCAACAGCTCTTCATGTGATAAACCATACACTCTCTTGCTCTTGCCATTGCCCCTGAGAGAGCCGAGAAGCCACTTCAGAGCATCAGTGATGCAGCGCTGTACTCGAGTACAAGCTGAGCAAGATAACAGATCTGTCCCTGGTGGCTCCTGGTTGGCTCTGCGAGCTGTTTCAGGATTTTCAGCACCACTACATTCTGGACAGCTCCATACAGAACCAAACAGCAGAATAACAAACGGTGAGAGAGACAGCTCTCAAATTCACACCAAAGGACTGAGCAATGAGCAGAAAAGCTGTAGAAACACCATTTAAACATCTGATGTTAAAGTTAAAAAAAAATCTACTCTAGTACATTCAAGACAAAAATGTTAGGTTATACTTTGTACATTTATTTGATGGGTAGTTACTTTACAGATCCAGATTTGTACATACAAACATTTAATCAGTGATTGCACCAGTAATCTGAACACTATACAAAAAATGTGCAAAACCAAATTTTAAATTATGCGTCTCATCTAAAAGCACACTGGGGGAAGAAAAATCAGTATCGAGTTGCTGTTTGTTTTCATTTTACTTCAAATGAATATCAACTACAGAATAATGAGGCGACTGAGTGTGTGTGTGAGATAAGGCAGCTGAAAGACACGGAGGAATCAGAGCCATGTTGTGAAGGGGGAAAAAAAGTGTCAGATACATAATGTCAAGACTTCCCTCATGGGACACTGAGATAAAAGTATCAGCTGTCCAGTTTGACAAGAAACAGGAAAAAAATGAGGAAGTGCCACAAGAGCATGAAACATAAAAGGGAAGGATGGACAACAGCATGTGGCAAAGAAAATTTCTTTCATGTCAATTAGGCTGGTATTAAAGAAGTATTTCAGTGCTGGGAAGAAGGTCTCTTTATAAACTCGGCTGTCTGTGAAGTAGAAATACTTTTGAAACTGGTGCTTTATAACCAAAGAAAACCAAAAAAGGGCTGTGGCATTTGCTTTCGCTCAAGATGTGGAAAACCAACAACTACCAGAATGCACTGCACCACACCAGACCAATAAAGGCGCCCCGTGATAGATGAGATAATGCGAGCTTTTCCATGTTTCCACAAGAAACAAAATGGCAGCTGGCTGGTAACCCAGTGACAGAATCTTGGTTTATATTTGATCAGCACTGCCTAGTTTTACAGTTTGATCAGAGTTTTGTCTGAATTTGAGAGCGAAAGAAAGAAAGGCAGTTGTTTCTCTCGATCTGTTTCTATACCCTTTGTGCCTGTGTTGGCCGGCATCCAAAAATGTGGAAGTACAATCTGTAGTTTGAGCAACAGCCCTACAGCTAAAGAAAATTATTCAAGCTGAGAGATGAGCAGGGAGATCTAGGTGCTGGTAAGATGGAGGGAAATTTACCTTACGTGGTTTACGTGGTACACTACCCAGATTGTTATAATAAAAGCTGGATGAAAATCTGCAAAGTATCCATTTAAGTCTTAAAATACTTGAGAAATAAAAGAATGGCAGGAAGAGGCTTTCTTTAAATGTAACTTTTCTTAAATTAAGTGTCATTTATTTGATGCCAGTGAAGCTACTGTGTGCCATTTGGATGCTATAGCTAAAATAAATGAAACTGCTTTACAGAAATTTTGAATCAATGCCACAATCTTTCACTCTGTACAACAAAACCCCAAATTTAAGTCAGATTGTGAGGCTAAACGGCTTGTTAAACTTGACTGTTTTTCTGTTTGGAGAATATATATGTCAGTCTGGTCTCTCTTTCAATTTCTCCTCACTTTTCACACAAACAAACACACTGAGTGCAGGACTGATTGTGACAAATACTGACTCTCTGGCGACGTTTCAGCCTCCAACTTTTGAAAGCCTATTAGCAAGCAAACTTCTGTTCACAGTCACGAAGAAAGACGGAGATGGCAGACGAGTTTGCAGCAAACTGTAGAAGTTTAACAGACACAACATCCAGATTGTGTCATCCAACCAAGACAACTAAGGACAAACAATGAATTGTTCTAATACTTTGCATCTTATTATTGATGCATTAAACTGTAAGTGATAATTTAAATATTACAGTTACCACTGCACATGCACTCTTGGACTGTTAAATCCACATCAGTGTTTCATTTTCTCATTTTTTGTATGTAAAACTGTATGTCTAGTAGTGCATAGTAACTACCACCAATAAGATAAATGTAGTAGATCAAATTGTACAGTATGTCAAAGTTGCACAAAATGGACGCAGCCAACCTATAAATGCAAAATGTACTTTATGGTATTTGAGCAAATATAAATTTAGGTATGAACTGGGCTTTTGTTATAAAGTTGTAGTGTTATAAAGTCAAGGTGGAGCTTGATAAATTGCATTTTTAAAGCTTTGGAAAAGGTTAAAACGCCTCCCTTAAATATAAATTAAAATCAATGAGGCCTTTCATGCAATGCTGTTTTTGACAATTTAAAGGAGTGCTGGAGAAACGGAAGAAAAATGACAATATTAAAGCAAGTGTTGAGACTAAATAGAGAGAGAGAATAGATGACAGGGGAGGAGAGGAGGGATGGAAACCAAATTGTTGGAGAGGATTGATGAATAAAAGACACAAGGGCACAGAAACAAAGACGGAGGGAGAGGGAGAAAGTTGCAGCGTTGGTACAGTCTTGTCAGAAAGCTGACCAACCAGGGAGGGATACCTAAAGCAGATATGATAATAAATGGAAGTGAGCAATCCATAATTTTGCATAGTGCTGAGTAATCAAAGATAGGGGAAACTAGAAAGGAAGGAGAGGGAAGAGGACAAAGGGGGGAGCAGTCAGGTAAGAGGGTGTGATTAGAGAGAGAAAAGACAACAGTAAAAGAGATAAAGAAGAGGAGAAAAAAGGGGAGAGAATAAAGATATGAGGGGTTTAAAAAAGTGGAGTGGGAGCACATTGTATTGAAAACTAAAAGCTCAATGCTAACACATCTTAGTTGGGTGTGTTACATGGTATTATAATCAGGTGCTAACTAGGTTCTTATGTACAAGGAATTCATTTTAATGTTTTGGTGCATAGACATGAAACATAAATATAGAATAGAAAACAAATGCAATCTAAAAAAATAAGTACAATGTAAGTGTTGAGAGTGAAATAGCTAAGCAGGAATTTGTAAAAAATATATTCTAGGGGATGTGCAAAGGTTCACCTCAGGGTCCTGGAAGCATTCAGGTCCTGTAGGGATGCCAGA